TAGAGATAGCAGATTTGTATCTATGTTTTGGAGGAGTTTGCATACAGCTTTGGATACTAGTTTGAATTTTAGCATGACCTTTCATCCTCAAAGTGATGGACAGTCAAAGAGAACTATTCAGACTCTTGAAGACATGTTGAAGGCCTGCATTATTGATCTTGGACGTTCTTGGGATGAGCATTTGGCCTTAGTGGAATTCTCTTATAATAATAGTTATCATGCGAGCATTCAGATGGCACTATATGAGGCTTTATATGAACGAAAGTGCAGATCACTTATTTGTTGGGGTGATGTGGGCGAAAGCAAGTTGTTAGGGCCTGAGATTGTGCAACAAACAGTAAACAAGATCAATCTTATTAAAGAGCCACTTCGCACTGCACAGAGTAGACAGAAAAGTTATGCAGATAACAGGAGATGCAATTTGGTTTTTGGGGTTAGAGACCATGTGTTCCTTAAGGTGTCTCCTATGAAAAGAGTAATGAGGTTTGGTGTTCGTGGTAAATTGAGTCCTAGATTTGTTGGACCATTTGAGGTTTTAAATCAAATTGGAGAGGTAGTTTACAAACTTGCCCTATCACCTTCACTAGTTGGAGTTCATAATGTCTTCCATGTTTCGATGTTGAGGAAGTATATATCGAATCCCAATCATGTGATTGATCATGCACCGTTGCAGTTTAACGAGGATTTAACCTATGAGGAACACCCTGTAAGAATTGTTAATAAGAAGGAGCAAGTTTTGAGGCGTCGAGTCATCCACTACGTTAAGGTTCAATGAAGCATTCACTCGGAGAGAGAAGCTACTTGGGAACTTGAGGATGAAATGAGACAAAAGTATCCACAACTTTTTGAGACTACAGGTATGTCAAATTTCGAGGACGAAATTTCTTTTAAGAGGGGAAGAATGTAAAACCCAAGTTGTGTGTAGGATTATTTTATTGGATAGATTAGTAATTAAATTAATTTATATGGGTCATTTATTAATATCAAAGAATTAGTTATGAGATGGCATTATATTTCCTATTACTTAGGTGATGGCTTTGTTTTGATGCTAAATCGTGGGAGTTCCTAATAGACTCTTGGGTTAATTTATTCTATTGTTGTTACAAGAAGAGATGGATGGGTGCACATAATAATTGTTTATGCGGTGTAATATTTTATTAGGTTTGTGAGATTGAGGTGGATCTTGGTAAATTGAGATTAGCTTGGAAAATATTATTTTAGCTGTTTGAAGGTAAGTAACCCTCTATCACTGTTGGTTCATTTTTATTCCTACTGAATCGTTTAAAATTATAAATATTTGTTTATAGCTTTCATGTTCTCTTAAAATAAAATATGGGTCAAGTATAAAACAACATCGAATATTGTTATGAAAGTTATTTGAATATTTTGTGAAACTATTCTGAAAATTGTACCAAATGTTTATTCCGAAAATATCGAATATTTTATTTAACAGTTGTGTATTGTTTGAATTTTGAACATCACTCTAGTCTGACTATGATTTGGACCCTAGCCAATTGGGGTTATTTATTGGCACAGAAACTAGTTTCTTTTGGGGCTTTACCACCGGCCTATGTGTGGTTCTGGGCCTTGTCACGGGCTAAGTGACCGTAGTCATTAAGACTTGGGTTTTGTGAATCAAATCATTGAACCATCTGAATATCGAACCATCGATTTGAACAACGAATTACTTTGAATTATGTTGTTGGCTTTTCATTTAAAATGTATTGTACATTGTTTATTTTTAGCTATGAAACCATCTTACAAATAATTGTTCATTTATTGAACTGTAGAAAAAAATTATATTTATTGGTTATCGATTTATTTATTTATTATTGTATACTTGATCCAGCTAGCAGTGATGGTTGGTTATTTACTGGGCTATCTAGCTTACCCTTATTTTTTTTTCAGATTCTGAAGAGTATAGTTGCACGAGATTATTTTTACATGTGGGAGTGCCGAGAGTAGGACTATAATTTAAGTACTTGGATTATTGTTTTGTTAATGGATTTTATTAGTGGACTTGGTGGATAATTTCATGTGATAAGAATAATCAATTTTTATGGGTTTTAGCATTATGACAATTAAGGATTTAATTGAAATATTTTACATTGTTGGTTATGTATTGGACTCTTAGCCTTGCATGCTCACTTAAATGAGTGTGCGGCGTTGTCACGGAGCTTGGGGCGTGACATTGGGGTTTCATGTTTTTCCTTTTTGCCTGATTCAAGAAATTGGGGTTTTGTGTTTTTTCCCTTTTGCCTGACTCACCGATGTATTGTATGTATATATGTTCTACTGTTTGAATGAAAAATTTGATGATTTTCGCTGCTACATATTAATTTGCTGGTGAAATTTTTTGTTGAACACGAATAAAATTTTCAACACTGTCTATTTGATACAATGTCTGGGCAGTATTGAACAAGTAAAATTTTTTATAGGCAATCCATTTAATACAATGTCTGGGCAGTGTTTGATACAAGTTTTTTACCTGTTGTTGTCTAAGTTCTGGGCAGTCCATTTGATATAATGTCTGAAAGTATAATCAAACATGACAACAACAAGCTGTAAAGACACTGAATATTATTCCAAGAATATAGAATAATTTTTCCATGTCCTAAAAAATTGTAATAGCAAGTTGTAAAGATGAGATATATATGGTTTTTGTTGTCCACTGAAAGTACTTTAGCACTGATTCATTATTCACACTGATTCATGCTTCACACCTTGTCATCAAGCAAGTATATATGAAACTCATGCAAGCAATCCCCTTATGTGCATGACTTCTTTGGAGAGTTCCATTGACTAACAGCAAGCAAGCACATCTGAGATTATGGAAGATATAGAAAGTTAACATAGGGATTTAAGAAAAAGGAATTTCAAACACTATTTTGGGCTTAACACTACACCAATTAAGGAGTAGGGTCTATTACACTACACCAGATGTAATTTTGAATATTATATTTAAAACTTTGTTGTTGGGTTAACTTTATCAGTGTTGTTAATTAATTTGCATTTACTTGAATGAGAATTATTAATGTTTGATTTTGCTTTGAAGGTGCTTTTGATTAGTTAAAAGTAAAAGATAAGTTTTTTTTTTTTGGGTTCAATGATGATGATCAACGTTGTTGGTCATGTGACATATCTATTCATTGAAAACATTACTTCCTACTTTGTATTCTTTGTTTAATTTATATTATTTATTTGGAATTTTTTTTGATAAATATTTGGAAGATCTTTGCATAGACACTAAGGTAGCAGCATGCAAGCAATTCCTCATAAACACAAGCTTCGTATTTTTATGGAAAAATGTCCAAATGGTTGTAGTTTATTTTTATTTTTATTTTATTTTCGAAGTCCGTAAATTCATCAGCCTTTAGATTATAAATTATGTTAGATTTTCCAGTAATGTTACAATACACATAATATATCACATGCAAATTAACAGTAATGTCTCATAACTAAATCACTACCTTTTGATAATCAAAATTACCACTACATTTGGCTACTGAGTCACAACCAATACCATCATAACAAAGCCATAAAAGTTATAACTGTGGCATATTTGAAGGTGTGTATCATAAATTTTCTTAGTTCTTCAACCCATAATCTTTATCATGTTTTAAATCGAACACAGTGATTAAATGCTACCTAAGTAATCCATTGCTTATGACAAATATTTTCAGTGTTGAGAACCTAGGAATTTCTTTTTGTGATACAATTTATCTACATTTTATTTTCTTTTATTTTTAGGATTTTTTATTTTATTTTAACTTTTTATATTGAACATTGTTTAATGTTATGGATATGTTTTGATCCATGATTCCAATTCATTTATTGATTTTCCATTCTATATTTCTATAATTTTCATTGTAATCAATCAATTCGAGTCTGGATTCTTACAATCTTGTAATGGGCTACGAATCTATTTATTCTGTACTTTTTTTTCTTTTTTTTTTGCAGGACATTTTATATATATATATATATATATATATTACTTCAAGTTCGCAGACGATGATGATGAGGACGTTACCTCTACAATCCGTTCCAATACTGGACTTCGTAAAGCTGTAAGGACAGAGGAATTCAATGATGTAAGGACAAGGCTTTAAGAGATGGACACTGAAATTCATAACCATGGTAGAAGGCTTCGAATGATGGAAAAGAATTTGAAGGCAATGATTTATGGGATTGTATACTGCGTCATTTTGTACTTTATAATGTAAATTAGTTAAACATTTAGGTTTTGGAGAATTTTATGGATGTAATTATGATGTAATTATGGATGTACTAAACATGATGGATCAAGTATATATGTTATCTTTTCAAAGTTGTCATGAATTGAATGTCGTGTTCTCATGGATTGTGGATAAATGTTGTACAGGTATATGTTGTCATTGTGAATTCAATTTTTTTATGTTGCTGCTGGACTTGTTCTGGAACTGTTTTTCAACAGTTTTAGGCTTGTTTTGGTCTTCCAATATATTTGTTCAACATCATTTGAGCCTCTAAAGAGACTATATTGTTGAACATGAATAAAATTTATCAAGAGTAGAAAAAATGCAGCAGCAGCAGCCATTGTGACAACACAAATGCAGCAGCTACACAAAATTCATTGAAGTTGTGTACTTGAACAAACGTATGCACTCTCACCACCTTTTTTGCAATTTTCTTTTTTAAAACCTTTTATATGATCACTCTACTTGATAAGATATTTTTTACTTTCATTTCATTCTAGTGTAACAAAAAAAATCATCCAATCATGAACATCCAGAAAGAAATAATACATTCTAGAACCTAATTTCCATGCAATTTATTTTCCAGAAAAGGCATTACAAAGAAATATAAGAACAAATAAAATTCAAAATTGATAAACACAACCAATAAAAACAGAACTTACATTTTATTGCAAGGGAAAAAAAATGGTTACAAAAACAGAACTTATATTTTATTACAATTGAAGCCTCAAACAGAACTTCTCCATTCCCCTTCCTGTCAATCCTCTACTTTTCATCATCAATGGCAGCATCATTCTCTATCTTGGGCTTCTTGTAGAGCATGAAATTCCTAACTCCAACCGACTCAAAGCTACAAAAAACAAAAACAAATTCAAAATCAAAATAAAGCCTGAAAATATTGAAAATAGAAGATTAAAATTTGTGGGATTGAAAATAGTTGAGTTCAACCAGCTGCTGTTGCTGCACAAAATTCATCTACAAAATGCAGCAGCAGCAACATTGAGTTCAACCAGCAGCAGATGAATTTTGTTCAACATTGACACACCAACAGCAACAACACAAATGCAGCAGCAGCAAACAAAAGTCAAACCAAAGTCATCAAAGTAGTTCTAATAAAATGCAGCAGCAGCATTGACTTCACCAAAAAAAATGCAGCATTGACACAAACAAAATTCAATTACATTGAATTCAAAGTCATCAAATAAACTAAAAAAAGTCATCAAACCATCCATTCTCAAATCATCCATTCATTCTCACAAACCATCCATTGTTTACAAACCAAAGTCATCAAAGTAGTTGTAATAAACTAAAAAGAAAATGTTCCATATGGATCCACATCTACATTGAAGTCAACAAATTTTGATGCAATTGTCGAAGTTTGACTACGTATATTGTTCACCATTTCTGGTTCAGTAAGAGATGTGCTTCCAATATTGTCCATTGGGCTAACCTGTGCATATTCAATGTAAAAGTAAAATTCATAAACATTGTCCACAAGCATATATATAAATTAAAACAATGCAAAATATTTCATATCATATATTGAATACATACCGGTACATACATACTCTGTTGCGTGCCATCTGTGCAAGGAAAATAGTAAGGTTCAGTTAGGGCCACCTTATGATTATAGTAACACAATTTCATTAATTATTTAAAAAATAAAAAATAAAAAATAAAAACATAAATCACAATTTAAAGTCCTTTGTCAAATACATACCGTGTCATACATACTATATTGCATAGTATCTGTAGATGGAAAATGTAACTTGCGAGGTTGACCTTGAGGCACTTTACGACCCTATATAGTAAGACACATTGCTCAATACTTTAACTTAAAATTTTTTTTCAACAATTCCTATACGAACAAATCATACATATACAAATTTACCTATTCTTTTGTAGGCTTTTTCTTATTTCCCTTCAACCGATTGACTATTTCATCCACTTTGCTAACCTTCCGTTTGGTACATGGACGGCCTCTTCGTCGAGCAACCAAAGGACTAAGCACCTTGCGAGCCATGATTGCTTTTGTTGTACTACGACCAGACGGACTTTTGGGGGAAGTATTGGAAGGTCGTCCATCACTAGTACAAGGTGTTACATTGCTACTTGAAGGTGGCACATTACTTGCACAACCCGATTGATCTTTTCTCACTCTCTCTTTGATTTCTATCAACCCAAGATCAATCAGTGTGTGTTTACCATCATCATTGGAAGCAATTTCTAGGATTTCATCCAACATCTTGTGGTATTTATCATGTAATTTTGCATTAAGAACAGCCCCGATTTTAGTGTACGTGGTTGGAATGCATGTGTAGCCTCTTTCCAAGTCTTTTCTCCATCTCGAAACAATGTATTTATTTGGCACCTCATATATGGATCTGTCAATGAGCACACAAAGTGAATGGGCACACATAATACCTCTAAACTCAAACAACCGGCACATACATTGGAGCTCACATTCAATTGAATTAAAATACACAACAAATTCCACTTTCTTCATCCCCTCACCCACAACAACAGCCTCCCTCACATGATAGGTACAAATTGCCCCCTTCTCTTTGATAAGATTTGCACGACAATACACTAGACGCTTCATTTCTAGTTGAACTTCTTTAAATTTTGAATTAGTGTAAGCTGCACGAAATTGCTTCTCCAAACGATACACCATTAAGCAATCATACAATTTATTACAAGACTTAAAATCTGCTTTTGTCTCATTCTCTACCTTACTTCTCAACGCATTGTCATACTGCTCAACAAATTGCTTTAAGGTTGTATTGGAGTTCACATATCCATCAAAGAATGCATTCATACTCTCACTTCGTTGTGTAGTTGACATGCCAGCCCAAAATATGTCTTTAATATAGGCAGGAATCCACCTATGTCGCTCATGGTATAATATCCCCAACCACTCGTTATCATTCAAATTGAAATTTTCAATCATTGCTTCCCAGTATTCCTCAAATTCATCTTTTGTGAATGAATCATAAACTGTATTACTCAAAGCAACCTTTATGGACTCATATTGTGAATGTCCTTGCAATTTCTCCGGAATTTCCTTCATAATATGCCATAAACACCAACGATGCCGAGCCTGTGGGAAGATAATTTCTATGGCATTTTGCATAGCTCTGCACTGGTCAATTATTATCGCTTTTGGGGGAGCATCTGACACCCAACTTAACCATTCTTTGAAAAGCCAAACAAATGTGTTCGTGTTCTCATTACTTAACAACCCACAACCAAACAAAATTGAGTGACCGTGGTGATTAACTACTACAAACGGAGCAAACGGCATATCATATTTGTTTGTCAAATAGGTTGTGTCAAAAGAGACAACATCCCCAAATGTTTTATAAGCCGCCCTACTCCTTGCATCCGCCCAAAACAAGTTTTGCATGCAACCATCTTCATCAAGGTCAATTGCCGAATAGAAGTTCGAATTTTGTTGTTGCATTTATGAAAATAAAATGTAACTGATTTGGCGTCGCCTACCCCAAGTCTCAATTTTCTAGCATTTTGAATATAATTCCTTGCATCTTGTTCATCAAACGTTAATGCCTCATATCCCCCCGCTTCAACAACTATGGAATGAAAATTCTTAGCCAACCCAATCCCTGCTGCATCATTAACTTCTAGTCTCCTATTCACCGGAGTAAGAATCCTCTTATTCATTGGAAAATGTCATGAGTCACTCAGAATGAAATCATGAGTGTGCTCAAGCACAACCGTGGTTAGCTTATATCTTCCATCTTTTTGTAGAGTGGCTCCAACCCTTGCTTTACAATCTATTTTTTATGACAAAGATGGTTCGAGGGGATATACTTCTGATCTTTTTGTTCTATTCCGCGCCCAAATACATTCAATTCCAAAGTACTTTACTTCCCCATCCCTTGTTACATTTTGTGTTCTATAAACTATAGTAAATCCAAGTTGTTTCGCATATTTTGCATAAAATGTGTGTACTTCTTGCTTGGAGATAAAACACATCCCCTTCTTCGGTTCTTCAACTTCACCACTCTCATTAAATTCAACATTGTTATCTTGTTCTTCAACTTCTTCACTCATATTGAATGAATTATTCATTGAATCAATATACATTGTAGCTTCAAAGTGGGTACAGATTCTTCTCAACAAAGTAAATGACTTGATGTGGAGTGCCCTTCAATGGAATCTGATTATAGAAAACATAACTTTCAAGTAAGTGGATCACTGCTAAAATGGCAATCTATAGAAAAATACCTTGTTATGAGCATTGAATTATTCATTGAATTAATTTTGAATTCATGAAGTTCATTGAATAAAACAGAACAGAACATTGAATTATTCCTTGTTATGAACAGAACATTGAAATTGGAATTCATGAAGTTCCTTGTTATGAACAGATTTCATTCATTGTATAAATTATAATAACAGTATAACAAGATGAAGCCATTGAATTTTGTTCATAACAAGGAACTTATGAATCTATTCATTGAATTAATTTATACAATGAGTTATGGTGTTTATAATTTTGTGCATTGAATTATGGTGTTTATAACATATCATTGAATTTTGTAACAACAGTATATTTCATAACAACAACAATGTGAATTTTGTTAATCTTGTTAAATTTTCATGAAGTTCCTTTTTAATTTTCATCAACAACAATGTTCCTTAATAGCACCAGATTTCATCAACAGAACATATTTTTCATCAACAACAATGTTCCTTAACAGCAGCAGATTTCATCAATACAACATTTTTTTTCATCAACAAAAAACAACCCATTTCTTAACAAGATTAACAATCTCATCTCATAACAACAATCTCATTAACAAGAATAAATGTGTTAATAATGTTGATAAAATATTAATCTTGATAAAACATTTTATCAAGATTAACAACAAACAATCTCATTAAATTGGATTGTTCTGGATTTAAATTGGATAGTTTGAGAAGAGCATGGCTTCTTTTTAATTCTGGATTTAAGTTGGATAGTTCAGTCAGAGACCAGATCATACCACATTAATTTTTATTTCACTCACCTTTCGGCACACAAATGCAGCGGCGGCGGCACCTTTCGCACACACAACGGCAGCGGCAACGGCAGTGACAGCAGCCTCGTTGGCGGTACTAGTAGAAGTGGCAGCAGCCTCGTCGGCGGCACCCTTTCACACACACAACCTTGATTGGCGTCCTCTCTCTCACTCTCTATACTGTGTTCTTGTTTTTCTTCTTTTTTTTTGGAAACGAAATGTCTGAGTTTGGTAAGAATTACCTATGTACAAAGAAGAAAAGGTGGGTGTGAAAAGAAAGGTCAAAATTTGGGCCTTTCGATCCTTGACCTTTCGAGCTACGAAATGGAATTGATCACATTAATACTAATTAGAACATATATCATTATTTCAGATTTTAATATGAACTGTCATCATGAATTGAATAGACATCATAGTGTAATGGTATAAAATTTGCATTTAATATGAACAGTCATCATGAATGGAATGGGATAAGACGGTGGTCGCCTCGTGGATAATATACTGCGTTTTTATCAGAGTGGAGTCAGATTTAAATTTGGGAAACAGGTATTTTTTTTTTGTTGGAGATTTTGTATTGTATGCTAATTAAAATTTGATTTCTTTTGTGATGGGTGATAAGTTTTATTGGATGGATTGATAGGGGATTCCTTCTTATGAATTAAATTAAATTTGATCAATAATTAATTATTCAGAAAATAAGGTCCACAAATGTTATAATATCTTTGTCAAACATTTTTTTAGCCTTAAAAAAACATAAAAAAAATATATATCTATATAATAAGGGAGAAGGGTTTTTGAAAATGTGTAATTTATCTTAGAGATACATTTTGATCCTGTACGGGGAGCAAATATTCCGGCGTGCCCGTATTCCTTTCTTCCGAGCTCCGTCGATATCCGATCACCTGCGAGCAAATAACGGTGAGCTACCCGGCGGTGTGTGGCCGGAAACACCCTCCGACGGTCAAATTAGCACACACCTTAGAGGGAATAGAGAGAAGGGAGAGAGTGTTTTAGTGTAAGGATTTTCTTACAGAGATGTTCGTCCGTCGCGTATGGGGGGCGCAGACATGCTTATATACCTTCTGAGCCCCATATCCACTCCCTGTCATCTCCTGACACGTGGCTCTGCTATCCCATCTGTCAGCATAAACCATGCCATTCATCACCTGCTCTCAACTGCCTGTCAGCACAGCCGGAGCTCGGCAGCCGAGCTGCCCTACCTCGGTCGTACCATGCTTCATACCTTAAGCGCCTAACCGGATAAAGAAATGAAGGACCGGGCTAGGCGGCATCTCGGCAAAGCCTAGCCCGGGCTCCTCCTTTGGTCGGCCTTCTCGCCGGTCAATCAACTACCTCGGCTGACCGCGCCTTTCCGAGCGCCGGTCTCTCGGTCTGTCTGGTTTCGACCATCCTCGGACCGAGCATCCTGGTCTGACCGGTCACTTCCTGGCCGAGCAGCTTCTGCACGGTCCGGGGCAGCACACACTCAGTCCAAACTCTGCCCGGCCCAAGTTCTGGTAGCCCATCTCCGGGTGAACAGTCGATCATCTCGGCCTAATGCTCTGCTGGGCCCTCAACTTGCTCGGTCTATACCTCGGCCCAACATCGGATCATAAATCACCCTCTCAGATCCAATGGTTTAAATTGTTTCATCTAAACTTCAATGGTTGAGATGTTTCTATTTCCCGCCCAAATGCTCTTTGAGCATCAACGATTGAGATCAATTACCATCAAGATCTAATGGTCCAAAATGTAAATTGAAGAAAATCTCTCTCTCTCTCTCCGTCACAGGTACTCATCTCCTCTCTCACTCTGATTTCAATTTTTGAACTCTCTCTCTCTCTCTCTACCTGCATTGAAGCCCATCCCATGTGACGACCACCGACCATCGCGATGCCGATGACCACCGACCACCTCTCCTCTGTGTGTCATCCTTTCTCGACGACACCACTGACCACCTCCTCTCCTCTCTCCTTCCTCTTTCGTCTCTCTCCGCTTACAAGGTAAACTAGAACTTCCAACTTTTGCAATTCATGATGTTTTTGTGGGTTTGGTTGTAAAGTTACAATTCATGACATTTTTTTGCTTGAATCTGAATATTTTTGTGGGTTTGTAAAGTTGAATCTGGATATTTTTGTTGAATTTGGATGTTTGGTTGGTTAAATCTAAACATTTTTTTGCTTGAATCTGAATATTTTTCTGGGTGTTTGGTTGGGTTGATGTTTTTGTGATGTTGCATGTTTGCATTACCTGTGTGTGTTCTGTGGCAGTTGAAAGGATGGTACAGCAAAGATGATGTCATTGTTGAGTGGAAGGAAATGAAAGAGATATGTATTTAGACGTCCATTGTTATGTGAGCGGGCCTAATCTCTTACTAGACTGCATTGCAAAGTTTAGATACCACATATTCTCAAAGGAGTTGCCATTGGTAAGTTCAACTAGGCAACACCGATACCACATCTATGTAGAAAGCACTTGACACATCCAAAGAAACAAATGATAGAAATTTGACAGGTTTTCCATAACTAGCTCTCATCGATGGTGTGATTATTTTGCAAAATTTCCTTTTATCAGCAATTCAATGAGTTGGAATGTTGAGTTTTAGACCTTATTGAGGATTTTAATTTTTAACTGAATAGATTATTGAGTTAGGATGGATGATTTATAGCTGAACTCTTCTCTATCATGGCATGGCAGGTTCTTAAGGCTGTGATGCATGGAGATTCTCTGCTTTTCACTGAGCATCAAGAATTATTGGATGCATTTGTTCGAGTTTATTTCCATTCCAGTTTGAAGAAATACAACCGCGTGGAATGTTGGGGCCCACTTAAGGATGCTACACAGGTCCTTTAACCCGCGCACGCATAACTAATACACTAAGACATATCTTAGATTGAAGAATGTTAGATAAAATGCCCTTTTCTTAGCAACCATGCCTTACCAAGCTAGCACATGTTTGTTTGTAATGTCACCCTTTAATTATCGATCAAATTACAACCAAATGCAAATTCTATAATTTCCATAAATGGTCCTGAGCTAAACTTTCATTTGAATTTGATCATATAAAGTTACGTTGATTGATCAAATCTTTTTAGGGAAGACGAGGAGATCAAATCAGCGGTTTGTTAAATTTGAAAATGTGTAATTTATCTTAGAGATACATTTTGAAAATGTATAATTTGTTGGAAATGGTTATAAATTCTGGATAAAACCAGAATTTTATCCTAAGTTCGGTCTATTTTTTAGGTGGGCCCCGTGCGTCGATTTTCACGGGTCAAAGTGGTAACGCGTTCTATGCCGCGTTATGATTCACGTGGTATATTTGGTTGCTCAAAACCATTACCGAGTGAATGGGAAATTTAAGCCAAAATGTGCTCCATGAAAATGGAGTTTTGGTAGAAATTCCTTAAGGTTGTAATGGCTTGTCCCACATTGATTT